CCATGGGCGTAGCCCCTAGGCCTTCCGCTTGACATTTTTTTCGAAAGTCCGCGATGAGTGCGGCAGACATAGAAGCGCGCAGCATAAACCATGCATTTCTCATCTTTTTTTTTCGCAGCTTATCCGAGCAGTTGCAAGAGATGTTTGAGCCAAGCTCGCAAGAGACCGCTGCTAACATCATCTCCTGATTCGCGTTTCGTATCAAGCAATCGGCTTCCAACGATCTCGAACTAGTTTTGTTCTTTTCTTGCTTTCGTTGACATGGCCAACTTGGCTCACGATCTCTTCGACGCTGCCCCGGAGCCGGAGACACCCACACCTAAGCAGGACCGCCGAGTGAAGTTGTACCCCTGGGACAGCGTGGCCGCGCAGCTTTTGGAGCCATTCGGCGAAAGTGCTCTTGACACACTCTCCCTCCAGCAGCTATGGAAGGCGGCCAGCGAGGGGAATAAGAAGGCTGCCTACCACTCGCACCTGTGCGCCGACAAAGCCACTGACATGTGGCACGTTGGTGCCGGTGTCTCCCTCACGGCTGCCGCGCTGCAGGCCGCCATAAAAAACTTGGAGTCGGAGAACATGCAACGCTTGCTTCGGGAGGACCTTTACCAAAAGATCATGGCAGAAGTCGCCGACTTGAAACCCATCCTTGAGAAGTTGAACATCGGCAAAGGTTCCCAGAAGCATGACGCCAGTGGAACCAGCATGCGCGAAGCCAAGCGACAGAAAACAGGCACCAGCACAGTCCACGCCTTCACTGAGGAAGAGGTTGTTGCCGCAGCCGCCAAATTTCACGCGTGGCTCAGTCAGGAGAAGTCAGCACTTCGCGGGGCGTTGTTCGTCTTGTCCGGCAACAACTCTTACTACGCCGCGCACACTGCAGAGTTTGTCGCTCGTGCCTGCATCCAGTACAAGCCTCTGAGTGCTGCCGAAATGACTGCTTGCATGAGAGCGCGTCTCTCCAAGCCCGCCGAGTCGCAAGAGAGCAAGCGCCCAGGTACAGATCCCACAGGTCTTTTCGACTAGACTCCGGCATGAAGCGAGCATTGCAGATGTTGAGTCAGATCATGCATACTCTCGGACTGCACTGCTATATGTGTCATGAACGTCCATGGGCGTAGCCCCTAGGCCTTCCNNACAGTCGGCGGGAAGTCGCAGCACAGCCCCGCCCTGTGAGCTGCCATAGAATATCGCTGCATCTGTTAGCACACAAAAGACATGCTGCCAAGATTCCGAGACTGGAAGAGCTGCTTTCTGACTGTTCTGTCACGTATATCTAGCAGCTGCATGTCTGTCGGCCAAACGCCTCACTGGCTGCTTGTGTACTCAGTCGGATGTGCAACATGTTATGCACGTTCTGTCGCCGAGCTTTCCTGTCGAGCCATCTTGACACAGCTATTTGAGTCCCGACCACCTCTCACTCGTCAGCATGGCGGAAGGATTGTTCGGTGCCTCGATGCCTTCCTCGGCGACTTCGGCGAGCATGCCAGGACAACTGCCTTTGAGCGGCTTGGTGAATCTGGGAAACAGTTGCTTCATCAACGCCTCCATCCAGGCCGTTCTCGCGATCCCGACGGTGGTGCGTGCTCTAAGCGCCCAACAACAAAGCTCTCTGGAGGAGGAGCTCCACAAGCTACTGCGACGGATGCAGACGGGCTGCGAGCAGACGCCGCGGGCGATCACGGACCTCTATTACGTGGGTCGCCAAGAGGACGCTGCCGAGTTCCTCGTGGACTTTGTCGATAAGTGTCCGACGGTGACTGCCCTCTCCCGAGGCCTGGAACGTTCCAGGTTCTTTTGCAGGCACTGCTCCGTCGCTCGACACTCATCGTCGTTTCCTTTCTCCAGTCTGCAGCTGCATCTTGAGGATTCCAAATCCGTTTCGGAAGCTCTCGCGAAATATCGCCAACAAACAAGTCCACTAGATTTGGAAGAATGGCAATGCCATTGCAGTCCACTGCGTGAGAGTCC